TGGCTTTAGCTTCTTAGTGCTACGCTTTAACCCGCTGTGCCACCAGGGATGGCCGAGTTTTGCTCTTTACTTCATTTGGGGCTTTTCTAACATACACTCTATTTCTTTAGTCAGCATTTTAGACTATTTTATAACTAATGTAATGATGTTAGGGCTTAAGTTTGCTATTTTGTTCGGGTTTGTTCAAGACTTATTTTCCATTAATCTTCCATGTCCCTTTTCCCCCATTTATTTTTTAGAACAGTTTTAAGTCCACAGCAAAATTGAGGGGAAAGTTCAGAAATTTCCCATAGAACTCCGAATCCCCACATGTGCACAGCCTCCTTCACAAATAACCAGCTCCCATCAGAGCAGTTTGAGGGGTGTTTGTTGCAACTGAAGGGCAATAGTTTGGCCTTTTCCAAAATGTCATGTAGTTGCAATCATACAGCCTGTAGCCTTCCACTTCAGAGACATTTAAGGTTCTTCCATGTCTCTTCATGACCTGACAGATCATTTTCTTGAACACGGAATAATACTTCATTTTCTGGGCACACCACAGTTTTGTTTTGTTTTTTTTCTATTTTTTTAACCACTCACCTACTAGAGGATATCTTGTTTATTTCCAAGTTTTAGTAATTATGAATAAAACTGCTATCAAGACCCATGTGCAGGTTTTTGCATGGGCTCTTTTGAATGAGTATCCACAAGCACAAGTGCCAAGTCCTATTTCACAAGTATGCGTCGTTTTGTAAGATGCCGTCAGACTGTTTCCTAAAGTACTTGTCCCATTTTGCATTCCCACCAGCAGCGAATGAGAACTGTCATGCCACATGCTCACCAGCCTTGGATGTCGGTGATTGAGTTTTGGGCATGTTACCAGATGTGCAGTGGTGTCTCGTGGCTGTTGATGTGCGCCATGCCTTGCTGATGCCTGCTGGAGAGTATCTGCATTGCCTACTCGCCAGCTCTATGTTTTCTGTGGTGAGGTGTCTGCTAAGGTCTTGTCACTTTCTAATTGGGTCGTTTGTTTTCTTAGTGTTGAGTTCTAAGGATTCTTTACACGCTTCAAAAGGACAGTCCTTTATTAGAGGTGTCTTTTGGAAATATTTTCCCGAGTCTATGACTTGGCCTCTCATTCTCTGTGCATTATCTTCCCTAGAGCATCGATTTTTAATTTTAAAAAGTCCAGCGTATCAATTAAATTTTCCACAGACTGCCTTTGGGGTGGTTATATCTAAAGAGTCATCACATACCTTAGGTCATCTAGATTTTCCCCAATGTTATCTCTTAGGAGTTTCAGACTTTTATATTTTTCATTAGGTCCACAACCCGTTTTGAGTTAATTCTCATGAAGGGTGTTAAGTGCAGGGTCTAGACTTGGTTTTTGTGCATTTGTGTTCTGCACCAAACCCTTTGTTTAAAAAAAAAAAAAAACCCTGTCTTTGCTCCACTGTATTGCATTTGCTCTCTCTGGTGTGTCTATCTTGTTCCATTGATCTATCCAGGTTGATTTTTACTAATTATACACAGTTCTTCTACCTTGAAACTGAGCTATATGCCCTATATATTTATTTCATACACTAAATAACCTTTTTATTTTTTAAATAAAAAATAGGAAGCCTTTTGCTTCCCTAATAGGAACAATAATAAGCATTGCTAGTAACTTCTTTTTACCCCCTCCCCACCATCCACTAATTTGAAATAATCTACCTAACACCTACTTGGGGTGTCCTCTCATGGACACTTCCTCATGTGTTGCTTTTTGTATTAATCTGTAGTATCAGCGTTTATCTTATTAAGATGTTAGAACCTAATTTTCATCTGTCTTAGTTCTATACTTAGACATATTCAATGCTCAACACCAGTCCTTGTGATGAAGCTTCTCTGAGCACTGTTGGGTTGTCTGAATGTCATTCTCTAGTGGATTCCTCAGGAAGGGATCACGGGAACAACACTCCCCAAGCACTCACATATTCACAAACTTGTGTCTATAGGTTTTATGCTTGAAGATCAATTTGATTGGCTACTATAACCTTCGCTCATGTCTTCTGCACTTGACTGTCTCAAATGCCTCGTCAGTGGGTTTCTCATTAGGTTTTACTCCTTATGATGTGTAATCTGTACTAGTTATATGTTGCCACAAAACAAATTACCCCCTAACTTAGCAACAATCCATATTTGTTCCTCATGTTTTCCATGGGCCAAGAATTTGGGATGTCCTCTCATGGACACTTCCTCATGTGTTAGATCTCCCTAACTCAGTCCTTGAATCTTCTATCTCCTTCACATCTAATGTTTGTACCCTGCTCAGTTTGGGTCCTTGATCCAAATGTTTTTATCAGAATGGGAATCTGTCCCACTGGAAGAACAGGTTTGTCTCTTTGTCAGGTGTTTGCGGGGTGCTCAGTGGCTGACGTTGACACAGCATCCTCTGTGGTGGGTCATGTCCTGAGGTTGGCATGCAGAAGGTCCCCTTGGCAGCAGCCTCGGGATCAACACCTGTGAGGAGTAAGAAAAGTAGAGTTGGGCAGAGAGGCATGAACTGCGGGAGACTGCAGCAGCCACCAGCTGATGTCAGTCCCTCAAAGCCCTGGAGCGGGCTGGCCTCTCCAGTTGGTGTAGACTGGCCAGGTCTTTGTGCCCCTGACCTAGCCAGCTCCGCAGACTGCTTCCTTTCCCCAGCGATGGCCCATGCCAGCTTTGGCCTACAGCTGAACTTCACTTCCCTTCTGTTTTATCCGTCAGCCAGTCGGACCCTGTGTGATGCATTAGCTTCCTGAGTCCTGGTACCTGGTAGCACAGTCCTCTCTCTTTATCCTTCTGCATGAGTGTTTTAGCTACTCCTAACCCTTCTTTTCCTTCATATAAATTTTAGAACAAACTTAATTAACAGTGGCTCTCAAGAACTAAAAATGGTGATCCTGGAGGAGGGTTACCTAACAAAACAGGTTTTTTCATGCCAATAAAATGAGACTTTATTTTGTGTGTTTTCTAAATATTCACACACACTGGGGCTGCCAAGTTTGGTAGAGTGAAAGAATTTACCCAGTTACATTTGAATTTCAGACTAACAACATGGATACACACACATAAATATGCCTTATACCTCTTAGGTATTTCTAAACCTTAGGACTTGACACGTGCACACACACCCTGCACACACAGCATGCGCACACCCCCACTTACACGTAACACACACACACAATACCATTTCACCTCTTCTTCTCTGAGCCCTCTGTGTCTCAGACTACCACTTAGCTAGGGTGGTTTGCTAACCACAACAGATTTCAGGGATGCGTCAACTGCTTAATGGAGTGCAATACTTTGATCAATGGACAAAAAAAAAAAAAAAAACAAGAACAAAGAACCCAAAAAACCTAATGTATGTCATTTTTTAAAACAAGGAGAGACCGCCCCTCCACCGGGGAAACTCCGAGCCGACTGCAGAGCCTCTGTCCCCGGGACCCAGGGCTCGGTCTCATTTTTAAGGCCCCCAGAAGATCATGCCCTTTGCCATCTTGAGAACATTCCTACCCACCCATCTCAGGGTCAGAAGCAGGGCTTTTACGAGGTGGAGAAGCAACCACGGGGCCCACCAGCGCCGCCTCCCTTCTGCCTGAGCAGATCCTGCGGATGCTCAAGGGCTATGACTCCTACAACACCCTGCTGCTGCCCCCGCGCCTGCCGGGGGAGAAGCTGCCGCCGGAGCTGTATGAGCACTTCAAGGAGATGAAGCGCTGCAAAGAGGAGCAGATGAAGGCCAAGTACCTGGAGAATCTGGAAAACGGTAGGAAGGCTGTGCTGGCTCCAGCCTCTGCCCTGGCTCTGAGTGACCCCCGCTTCTAGCCTGGCAGAGGCTCCTGGGGCAGCACAGGGCCCAGCCTATCCGGGCACAGGGGTAGGTTGCTGGGTGGTCACTGCTGTCCCAGACTTGCTGACCCTGGCGCCGGCAGGGCAGTGGGCTTGGGTGGGACTTCTCCTGGGCAGTGGGTTCCAGGGGCCTCCGAGCCCTACTCCTCCCTCACTGGCACTGGCCTCACTGACCCCTGCAGGGGTCGCTGCCCACAAAGACCAGCCTGACTGGCCAGAGGCCCCTCTGAGCCCTGCAGACCCATGGCCATCTGGGGTACAGGGCCCTGTGGGGGGAGGACAGGGCTTCCTATGCCCCAGCCCATTCCCCCCTACCCACTCCCTTCCCTGTACAGACTGGGGGGGGCCAATAACGCCCCAGAACCTGCCCACCGCATCTCCCTCTACTGCTTCAAAACCACTAGAGCCACTTCTCAGGATGGTCTCTGACACCCCACCCCAACCAGGTGCGGCTGGAGCCCAGTGCTGGGGGGATCAGGATGCACCTCACCAAGCAGGTGTGCTGCTTCAGGGTCTCTGGTGCTGTCCAGCCTGACCCAGAGGCCAAACAGCCAAGCCAGCTGTGTGCAGGCCGGTCCCCTGCCTCGGACAAGTGCTGGCAGGCAGACCCCTAGCTCCCACCCCCAAAAAAGCAACCAGCCCTTCCTGGGTGCTTGCCTTGCTCGTATTGTCTTTCCAAACCCTGCAAGATGCTGCTGTTAACCCCTCCCTGTGTGGCTGCATAGGCTGTGTGGGACACAGCCCCCTCACCAGTGTCTAATGGGGAGTTAAGATGTAAAGCTGCTGGTGGGAGTATAATGGACCAGGCGAGAAAATAATAATAATGAACAGCCATATACCAGAGACATTTTATGGGGGTGGAGTGGGGAATGGGATCAAAAACAGTGGGGGGAGGGAAGTGCACTGGACTATGGTGATGACATAGGGTGACTTAGTGATGGGAAGCCCAAGGGGATTGCAACTGAGATGAAAAAAAATGTACAAGATGATGTAAAAGTAAACTATTATATTATTTAAAAATAATAATAATAAAAAGAAAAAAGAATAGCAGCTATTATATTGTTTTAATACACTTTTAATCACTAAGTATTAAAAAAAAAAAAAGATGTAAAGCTGCTGGTGTTAGAAACCTGCCCTGTGCGGGGGGCTTTCCACCTAGGGCTGAGGAACACAGGCTCTGGGAGCCAGGCCGTGGCTCCAGTGAGTTGCCGCTCTGGCCTCTGACTCGGAGACCGCAGGGTAACTGCTGTTCCCCACTCCCTCTGCGCGGGTGCCGAGGCAACGCACAGGAACCCAGCACGCACTAAGAGCAGGCAGTGGGAGCTGTAGTGAGGAAGAGGTTGGCCCCCAGTCCTCGAGGCCACACTCCAACCAGAAAGCTGCACTATGTGCTCACCTTTGGGCAGGGTCCCCAAGTGACCCCATCATCTGCTCTGGGGCCCCTTTGGGTGCACTTGAGCACGAAGGCTCCAGGTAACCTGCAGGACTGTGTCTATCTCCCTCACTCAGGCTGTGTGTCTGCCTTATGTGCTCTCTTCTGATGACAGTCATCGCACATGTCATTATTTTCTTCACACCTATGTCCCCACTAACAAGAAGACCCAGGAAGGTAGTGATCACAGGAAGGTAGTGATCACATACTCCCCACTGAAAACCCAAGGCTTCAGCATCTGGTGTGTCACAGCAGCCAGTAAATTCATGCTGCAGGTGTGAATGGGTGGATGAATGAAATGGAGCCTGTTTCTCCTCCCTTGGCCTATCTTGCTATCTCCCAAGGAAATACGAGCAAGCCCGAGATACTGGTTTCCCCTAAAAGGATGTGTGAAAAGCAGTTGCCTCTCCACACCATCTCCTGGCCATATTTACTGAGCACTGTTTGTTTGCTAGAATTGCCATCACAAATGGCAAAGACTTGGGTGCTTAACCAATGGGGATTTATTTTCTCATGTTCCCCTAGGCTAGACACTCAGGATCAAGGTGCTGGCCGCAGGGTGGCTCTCCGTGACGCCTCTCCCCGGGTGTCCATGGTCATCTCGCCCCGGGTGTGTCAGAGTCTCAATCTTGTCTTTAAGAACTCCAGATAATGGAGGCACTAGGTTACCCTTACCACCTCATTGAGGCTTGATTACCTCTTTCAGGCTGTCTTCAAAGTCAATCATGTTTTGAGATATTGGGTGTGTGGGTAGATCTTCAAAATAAAATTCGAAGGGGTGGGCCCTCCCTCGTGGCGCAGCAGGTTAAACCTCCCTGGTGGCGCAGCGGGTTAGACACAACACTCAGAAACTAAATCTATTCCAACATGAGTTCTATCCTCAACCCCTGAGGTGATCACATGGCGCGGCAGACCTCTCCTGACCCGCCTGCTGCTCCCCTCAGCAGTGTACTTCATCTATCTGCCTGTTCTGCTCCCTACTCTGTTTCTGGTGAATCCTCTTACTGCCCCTGCACCTCTGGCCTGTACCCCAGTTATGTATGCATAAATAAATAAATATTTATTAAAAAAATCAAAGGGAGAACCAGTTAAGCCCATACCAAACACCCACTATGTTCTAAGCATTGAGCTTAGTGCTGGACCGAAGATCAAACAAGTCCATCTACTTGCTCACACTCTGGAAGTGGTTGGTCATAGGCGTTTAAACCTATGAATGCTTGGTGTCTGAGGCGGGGAGCTGTGGGGCTGGGAAGGGTGTGAGGGCCACACCCTCT